TGCTGCTGCTGCAGCCTCTGCCCGAGGGAGGGAAAGGAGAGAAGGCAAGGAGCCTGCGGGGGCGACTGAGAGCCTTGGCTGAAGGGGTGGGGTCCCCAGAGGGGCCTCCAAACCTTGCCTGGTGAGCTTGAGCTCCAATTCTCACTTCTGCTGAAGCTTATCTCCTGCCTCATCTGAAGAAGGGAGGGAAAAAGGAAGCCTAGGATGCCCTTTTCCCCCCATGTCAGTCCGGATAATCGAACTTCACCATGTGTGTCTCCATTCCTCCCTGTCTGTCCTCACCACTTACTCCCTGTGCGCCTTGGGAGGGAGATAAATTCCGACTTTATGTGTCAGGGGGCCACTAAGCAGTGGGACCAGCCCCCTCCCACTCCCAGGAGATTGCTGAAGAAAGCTGTCCAGCTAAGTAGCAGGATGCACAGTCCTCCTTTCCCACTTTCTGGAGGTGACCTTGGACCAGGGTCCCTTCTTTACCCCAAAGGATTTGCAGGTCCAGCCTTTTCAAGTCCCCCACCTCCAAGGGAGGTCAGTCCTGAGGAAGCCACTTCTCCAAATCCTCCCTCCTCTCCCTCTGTGCTAATCCCTCCCTCCATCCTCCACTCCCACCCCTGCCCCCGCCCCCGCCCCTCCTCTGCAGAGGGATGCTCAGTCCCTCTTGTGTTCACAGTTGGGCAAGGCGGGCATCATGGCCTCGGATTGTGAGCCAGCTCTGAACCAGGCAGAGAGCCGAAACCCCACCCTGGAGCGCTACCTGGGAGCTCTCCGTGAGGCCAAGAATGACAGCGAACAGTTTGCAGCCCTGCTGCTAGTAAGGAGTTGGATAATTGGGAGATGGGAAGGACTGGGTGGTCGGGGGCCCCCAAGGAATGGAATCAGCCAGTCCCCAAAGATATATAGTGGTGCTAACAACTTTGGAAACACCAAAGGAGTTCCAAGATCCCTACCTTTGTATTGATTTTGCTCCCCTAGACTCGGGGCAAAGGGGAGAATGCAGATGAATAAGGCTGTGGCACTGGGGTCCTTGGAGGAGGCTGCCTGAGTTTGCTTTCTGGGGTGTCCCAGAGCAGATGGGAGCTGACTCATAGGGTAACAGCAGCAGGTAGTAACTAGTGCAAAGTATTTGAGGGCTGGGGATGATTTTTCTGAGACCTGAAAGAGTAGCGGGACGGGAAGAGATTAAAGAAGGGTCCGAAGGGATGGCCAGGACTGCAGTAGGTAGCTTGAAGGTAAGGGAGCTGGTTTGGGTCTTAGCCCTTTTGGAGGAACCCAAGCTGGGGACAGTGGAACAGGAGCTGCAGTGCTAGAAAGGGGGGGCTAGTGTGTGGGGGGTAAAGGGAGGAGGGAGTACAGCCGCTGCTTGTTTGCCATGGCAACAGGGAGAAGGCTCTGGAGTCAAGGGCTCACACTGCAGCAGAGGAGGTGTTTAGGTGAAATGTAAGGGGAAATGTTTTGACATGCAGAGCAGCGAGACACAGGAGCCATTTCCCCTGAGAAGGTGGCGGAAATGGATCAGAGACTTATCTGGAGACAGCATTTAGGAAAGGACCCTAAATCCTTGGGGGATTTTAAACACTGAGTTCTAAGCTCCTTCCAACACAGGTTGTGGGCATCTAGATTAGATATCAGGAAGAACTTCTCAACTGGCCAGGTAACGAAGTGCCCAAATAAGTGGTAGAGAAAGACAAGACCTCCCTGCCATGGGATGATCATAGGTGAGAGGGATCCCAGAAGTCACATTAGCCTGAAAAAGAAGGAGCTAGATGAGATAATCCCAGAGTGAGTTCTGTTGCGTAACCTAATCCTGTTAGTCTTCAGTGCCCCAGGGTTCAGGGAAGGGATGGTCCTTGCCACCTCTTCCTTTCATTCTGCTGATAGCATGTACTACTTGCCCCATACCCCTGTAGGTGACCAAGGCAGTAAAAGCAGGTGACATCGATGCCAAAACCCGACGGCGGATCTTTGACGCCGTTGGTTTCACTTTCCCCAACCGTCTCCTAACCACCAAGGAGGCACCAGATGGCTGCCCTGACCATGTTCTCCGTGCCCTTGGTGTGGCCCTGCTGGCCTGTTTCTGCAGTGACCCTGAACTGGCCACCCATCCTCAGGTCCTGAACAAGATCCCCATCCTTAGCACCTTCCTCACAGCCCGGGGGGACCCTGATGATGCTGCCCGCCGCTCCATGATTGATGACACCTACCAGTGCCTGACAGCTGTAGCAGGCACACCCCGAGGGCCCCGGCACCTCATTGCTGGTGGCACCGTGTCTGCCCTATGTCAGGCATACCTGGGTCATGGCTATGGCTTTGACCAGGCCCTGGCACTCCTGGTGGGGTTGCTGGCTGCTGCAGAGACACAGTGCTGGAAGGAGGCGGAGCCCGACCTGCTGGCAGTATTGCGGGGCCTCAGTGAGGATTTCCAGAAAGCCGAGGATGCCAGCAAGTTTGAGCTCTGCCAGCTGCTGCCCCTCTTCCTGCCCCCAACAACCGTGCCCCCTGAATGCCTCCGGGATCTGCAGGCTGGATTGGCGCGCATCCTGGGAAGCAAGCTGAGCTCCTGGCAACGCAACCCTGCCCTGAAGCTGGCAGCCCGCCTGGCACACGCCTGCGGCTCTGACTGGATCCCAGCGGGCAGCTCTGGGAGCAAATTCCTGGCCCTCCTGGTGAATCTGGCATGCGTGGAGGTACGGCTAGGCCTGGAGGAGACAGGCACAGAGGTGAAGGAGGATGTGGTGACTGCTTGCTATGCCCTTATGGAGTTGGGGATCCAGGAGTGTACCCGCTGCGAGCAGTCACTGCTTAAAGAGCCACAGAAGGTGCAGCTTGTAAGCATCATGAAGGAGGCCATCGGAGCTGTCATCCTCTACTTGCAGCAGGTAAGGGGGTAGTGACCTACAGAGGGAGCCCAGTGTCCGGGAGTCAGAGCAGGAGCCAGAAGGCAAAGAAAAGGGGTATAATGAGGAGACAGTCAAGCTGCATGTCGGATGGGCTAGTACTGCAGCAGCACTCAGGAGTAGTGTGTGGCCGAGCCTCGCTCCCTCTCCCTCCCTCCAAAAGCCTCCACAAAGCACCATACCACACACCATATGTGCACTCACATCCCAGCGCACACACACACACACAACACGGTAACCTCCCACTCACACAGTGCTCCCCAGTACACACACTACACACCACACACAAAATTGAAGCAGTCTGTTCTGCTCGCTCTGGGGCGTTGTTTTACATATGCACACATACAAACTTACAGCGGTGCAGGAAAAAGAAGCAAGGCTGCCTGGTTCCTGGCCTTTCTAGGAGTTCAGCTAGATCTACACCCACCCATTCGCAACCCCTCCCTCCCTCTGAGAAACCCACTCTCCTGTCCCACAGGGATTCAGTCTTGACTCTCTTCTCTTTAATGGTCTGCTCCAACCGCTAAATTCACCAACCACTGAATTCACCAGCCACACATCCAACAGACCATGCTAAGCTCTGGTCTCATTTTGTAATTTAGCCCAAAAGGGCACCCCCCTCCCACTGTTGGTTGTATGTTCATGGCATCACCTGTCCTCCCATCCCAGGTAAGAGTCTCTGTAGAATGTGACTTAGCTGTAGTCCCGAGTTTCCCCCTAGCCTTGAGCTCCCTTGGCGGTGGAGAGATGGGGATGCACTTTGAGTCTCATCAAGGTGGGGCCTGTTCTCAGCAAGGTGGGCCTGCTTTGTTGGGTTTGTCCCTCCCATTTGCTGGGTACTGGGTACATGGGGTAGGATGAGGCTTGGTGCCCACCTCTGAGGGGCTCACAGGCCAGAATTCCCTTCCAGTTGTAGGCTGGCCAGCAGACTGGTAAAACAGGGGAGGGTCTGTAGTCCTGCTTTATCTCAGAGGGGTCCTGTGGCAACAGGTGGGGCCAGAGAAACAGAAGGAACCCTTCGTGTTTGCCTCGGTTCGGATCCTGGGTGCCTGGCTGGCCGAGGAAACCTCATCCCTGCGTAAGGAGGTGTGCCAGCTGCTGCCCTTCCTCGTCCGTTATGCCAAGACCCTCTATGAGGAGGCGGAGGAGGCCAATGACCTCTCACAGCAGGTGGCCAACTTGGCCATTTCCCCCACCACCCCAGGGCCCACCTGGCCAGGGGACGCTCTCCGGTGAGTTTGTTGTTACACTATGTCCAGCCAGACCATTCTAAAGAAAACTATGACACACTGGCCCCCGCAAACTGGGCTGTGCCAGGCTTCTAGATTGGCCATGAGAGTTCTCTTAAGATCATTTCTGTTTGTTTTGGGAGGCTTGTTCCCACAGGAATTCTGAGCTGCCAATCCCAGATTTCTCAAAAAGAGAACTTAGGTTTATTGACCATCTCTTACAAGCCAGATATTTTGCTATACCTTTTACTAGAACTATATCTTGTTGTTTGTGTTTGTTTTGTTTTGGTACTGGGGATTGAACCCAGGGATGATTTACCAATGAGCTATACCCTAAGCCCTTTTTATTCTTATTTTTTGATTTATTTGTTTTTTTAGTTGTAGATGGACACAACACCTTTATTTTATTTATGTATTTTTATGTGATACTAAGGATCAAACCCAGTGCCTCACTTTTGCTAGGTGAGCACTCTTCTACTGAGCCATAACTTCAGACCCAGCCCTTTTTAAGACAGGGTCTCACTTAATTGCTTAGGACCTCTCTAAGTTGGTAAGACTGGTCTCAAACCTGCAATCCTCCTGCCTCAGCTTCCCACATTGCTGGATTACGGGCATGTGCCACTACACCAGGCTCAGATCTATCTCATTTGGTCCACATGGCAAATCTGACAGAAGTTTCATCCACATTTTAAAGATGAGGAAACTGAGGCTCAAAAAGTTTAAAGTAATTGACTGTGGTCAAGCTGTACAACAGAGCATCAATTTGATCCTGGGCCTGTGTAACTCTGAATCTTGTGCTTTTTCTGTGATACCTACCAGGACATGTCCTTCTTCTCCCCTACTTTTACTTCTCTTAGGCAGGGTACTTTGAAAAAGGAAATCTTTGTACCTTCCTCTCTCCCAACCCCACACACGTCTGCCCTTCCACACCCCCCAGGCTCCTTCTACCCGGCTGGTGCCACTTGACTGTCGAAGATGGACCCCGGGAGATCCTAATCAAGGAGGGGGCTCCTTCACTTCTTTGCAAATACTTCCTGCAGCAGTGGGAGCTCACATCCCCTGGCCATGACACCTCAGTGCTGCCTGATAGTGTGGAGATCGGCCTGCAGACCTGCTGCCACATCTTCCTCAACCTCGTGGTCACTGCACCAGGGCTGATCAAGTGAGGGGTTTGGGAGAGGCTGGGAGGAGATTCAATCGAGTGTGGGGTGGTGGGGGGCTGCCCAATTGCCTTAAATTTTGACCTCTACTTTGCTTCCTTGTGCGTTTGGATTTCTCATGGTGTTAAAATGAAAGGGTCTCAGAATAGACAAAGCCAGTCACGCTCAAGGATTTGGGTCCCTAGGTATTTTCCTGGAGCACATCTCAGTGCCAGCCATAACCTCAGATGCTATGGTTGGGGCTCAGGGTTAACTCTTCACGCTGCTACCTGATTTCTTACAAACTCTGGCCCAGAGAAGTCAGGAGTCCCAGATCCAGATTTTCCAAAAGGTTTCATCTGGTCTCATAACCTTCTGCCTGCCCCCATCCTTGCCTCCCTTTCTTCCCCAGGCGTGATGCCTGCTTCACATCTCTTATGAATACTCTGATGACGTCTCTGCCCGCGTTGGTGCAACAACAAGGGAGGCTGCTTCTGGCTGCCAATGTGGCCACCCTGGGCCTCCTTATGGCCCGACTCCTTAGCACATCTCCAGGTAAGCCCTGGGGAGCCAGGCCTGGTGGGTGAGGGCAAAAAACCTGGGTGGACCTGCTGTGCGCTGGGCGTAAGTCCTTTTACAGAAAATGATATTGCAGATTTTTTTCTGAGAAGAGGAAATCTCTACAATATATCTCCATTCGCCACCCCCACCCTTCTTCCTGAAATGATAACATGCTCTTCCTTCTGAAGACTTTTAAGGCAAGGTCTGGTGGGTGTTAAGTACAGGCCTGTTCAGAGGCACAGGCAAAGGCACCTGGAATCCCTGGCAGCCCAAGGACTCCAAATCCAGTGTTTTCAAGGTGGAGCCGCCCCCACCCAGGGCCTGAGTCAGAAACCTGACTTCCCTCCATTGAGGTTTCTCATTGCTCAACAGTTCACCCACCTCAGTGACAGGTGTCAGCACTCTGCCCCTCTGCATAGCTTCTCCTCCACCCTCCTCCCTCTGACTCTGTGCAGGGGGAATGGTGTCCCCTCCAGCCCCTGACAGCCCTCAGTGTCTCCCACTTTGGCTGTGGGTGTCTGCTTGGGTCCCTCTGTCCCCGCCTGTTCCCTGTGCCCCATCTGTCAGGTTGGAGGAGCTGAGCAGATGCCCAGGAACAGGGTGTAACATGCCCATACCCTCAGCTGCCTCTGTGTTTTCTGTGTGGGGATCCCAGCAGGGTACCCAGTAGTGGGAAGGGGAACATATCCCTTTGGACCAGAAATCAGGAGGTCGTTCCCCGCCCTCAACTCTCAGTCACTCCCCAGGTAGAGCCACCATGGCACTGACTCACGAAGTTAGAGGCAAAGCTTCCTAGAGAGCACTTGCAGAGGAGGTGAATCCCAACATGACAGGTTCACAAAAACCTGGTCACTTCCCCTCTTGGAGCCCTCTTCTGGCCTAGGAATCAAGCAGGTGCCTTATCACATCTAATTCTCACAACAGATTAAGATTAGCAGTACTGGCCCCATTTTACAAGACCCAGAAAAGTTAACTACCCAAGGCCATACAGCAAATGTGGGTTTAAACCCAGACAGTCTGATTCTAGGTAATGCTTGAGCTCCGCGTGTGTCCACACAGGAGGGAAAGTGAGGGGCTGGCCCAGCACTGGCCCATCTAGTTCATGTACCATTTTTTCCATGCCTTCCAGCTCTTCAGGGGACCCCAGCATCCAGAGGTTTCTTCGGAGCCGCCATCCTCTTCCTATCGCAGTCTCATGTGGCACGGGCCACACCTGGCTCTGACCAGGCAGTACTGGCCCTGTCTCCTGACTACGAGGGCATCTGGGCTGACCTGCAAGAGCTGTGGTTTCTGGGCATGCAAGCTTTCACAGGCTGTGTGCCGCTGCTGCCCTGGCTGGCCCCTGCCGCGTTGCGTTCCCGCTGGCCACAGGAGCTGCTCCAGCTGCTAGGCAGTGTCAGCCCCAACTCCGTCAAGCCTGAGATGGTGGCCGCCTATCAGGGTGTCCTGGTGGAGCTTGCACGGGCCAATCGGCTGTGCCGGGAGGCCATGAGGCTGCAGGCAGGTGAGGAAACGGCCAGCCACTACCGCATGGCCGCCTTGGAGCAGTGCCTGTCAGAGCCCTGAGGGGTGTCCACTGGGGACAGACCCGGGGGCGGGCAGCGAGGGAAGGAGGGAGGAGGCATCTTCCCTGAAGCCCCCAAACAAGAACCCCCTCCCCAGACTCCTTCCCCCCAAAACACCCCAGCTTTCTGGCTTTTCTGAGGGCAAGGGCATGGTGCCCACTCCTCAAGTGTAAGGAACTGCGTCCCGCCCCCCAGGCCCCCATGGGGGCAGGGATCGGCTTGGAAATCAACGTGGTTGTCCCCGCCAGGCCGGGGAAGGTTGGAGAAGCCCCCAGGGAGGGGGGCAGTAGGTGTCATTGTGCCCAATGTCTGGCTCCCCTGCAGGAGGGAGGCCCCAGGGTAGGTCAGGGCTGGCAGGAGCTGATTGCCTCAGCCCAAGTGCCCTGCCGGCCAGGGCGTGGCCTCCCCTAGGCTGTGGTGCCCCTTCTGGCTCCCCAGGTCCACGTCCTTTAAATCGGCCATATGGCTCTTGCCCTTGGCCTCCTTGGGCAGAGAGCAGGCTCAGGCCATTGAAATCACAGTTCTTCCTTTCAACCTCAGTGACCCAGGGTCTGAACTGCCCCTATCCTTTCAGGGCAACCTGGGGCAGACAGGCTAGTGTCGGGGGTGGGGAACCTCCTTCCACCCAGGCTTCCTTAAGAGAACCCAGGAGTCCTTGGGCCCGGGTCTCTAAGCTTATGTGTCATGTTGCAGCAGAGTGCCAGTGGGGGTTGAGGGTTATTTATTTTGCTTGTATTTATCCCTGCTTGGACACCCGAGCATCTGATTTCTGTCCTCTGTGCCATCTGGCCTGGCCAGAGCCAGGAACAGGAGGAACACCTCCCCAGAATCCGCATGTTTCCCCAGTGATCGCACCCCATTGCCACCGTGGTGCCTGGCTTCAGCTCCCACCCCTGTTATTACTCCTCTGCAGAGAGACGCGACTGGCGGCTCCAGCAGGGACTACTTTATGAACCTGGGGAGGGATCCCCCACATCTGATCCCTTGCTTCCCCTCGCCCTCCCCCAGTGTGTTCTGTGATCATCACATTCAAAGCTGTGCACATGTGGACACTCAATAAATGTTCATTGGTGACAAGAAGCCTGTTGTGTGGTCTGCCCTACATCTGCTCTCCCTTGCAGGCTCCATCAGTTCACAGTTATCGTTTGCTGAACACAAGTCCTGCTAAGTAACTTCACAAAGTGTTATTCAGCCTTCCCAGGAATCCTGGGAAGAAGAGATATAACTCCACTTTTACAGATGGAGAAACATAGGCATGGATAAGTAATTTGATCAAAGTATTGCAGCTAGAGCCAAGACCTCCATGCAGACTCCTGTCTCCCCAACCCACACCCTTCATTGACACAGCAGAGTCACAAGCCCAGCTGTTGATGTGGCCAGACTTGGTGGGGACAAGTGAAGCACTGTCCCTTCTCTTGTCAGCAGGTTGTTGCCAAGAGAAACTGCCATACCCTCTAATTTTTTTTTTTTTTTTTTTGGTGGTGGTACTGAAGATTGAACCCAGAAGTGTTCTACCACTGAGCTGTATCCCCAGTCTTTTCTTTTTAATTTTATTTTGAGGTAGGGGCTTGCACAGTTGCCCGAGCTGGCCCTAACATGCAGGCCAAATATGGATGTCAGGCTACCAGCTGTTGACCCCTGTTCTATGCCAAGTAAAAGGGGAACTGTCTGAGCACTTCAACTGGAGACAAGCACTGTCTGCCTCAGCTGGCCTGAGCCAAAATTAGCCCTGGCCCACACCGTCTAGACTCTTTCACCTAAGCCCTCAAACCCACAAGTGTTCACTGAATACATCTTGTTGCCCACCTGGCTATGCATAACAAGAATATTCTACTTATTGGATGTGTGAAAGCCATCATAGCATGGATTCTTTGGGGTAATTTATGAAAAGACCTAATCTCTGCACTCAGGTAGCTTAAAATCTAGAGGGGAAACAGATAAGGCAACATAGAGGTATAATCAGTGGGGTTTTGTTTGGTTGGTTTTTTAAGAGAGAACTTTTTTAACATTTATTTTTCAGTTTTCAGTGGACACAACATTTATTTTATTTTTATGTGGTCCAGGAAAACTCAGCAAGTATTTGCTCTGAGACCAAAGAGGTAGGAGGGGGTTGCCAGCTAGACAGAGAAACAGTAGGTATAAAGGCTGGCAAGCTTATTATTGCCTCAATGGAGTGTGAAGTGGGGAGAGGCAAAAGGTGTGGTTGGAGCAGATCCTAAGAGTCCTAGTGTGCTAAACTCAGAAGTTCAGATATCTTAGGTATGGGGTCATAATGAGGGACCAAACTGTAGGTCTTTGAGTAGATTAAGTGGGATTCATTTTGCCTTTTTTTTTTTTTTTGTACAGGGGATTGAATTCAGGGGTACTTTACCTCTGAGCTACATCCCCATCCCTTTTTACTTTTTAATTTTGAAACAGGGTGTTGCTAAGTTGCTGAGGCTAGCCTTGATCTTGGAATTCTCCTGCCTCAGCCTCCCCAGTCACTGCAATTATAGGTGTGTACCACTTTGCCTGCAAAATCCAGTTTGCATTTCAGAAAGATGATTAGCTGCCAGAAATGACTGAGGCAGGAAGCTCAGAGAGGAGGTGATATGTCTGAACTAAACCCATGGCAGTGAGGATAGAGACAGTACAGGTAGAAGTCAAGTAATAGAACTTGGCAATTGATTGGATGTGAAAAGAACAAAGAAGGGAAGGAGATCCAAGGATAATTCCAGATTTCTAATCTGGGCCACAGAGTGAATAGTGGGGCCATCATTGGGAAACACTGAGAGAGAAACTGATCTGTGGAAAATTATAAACTGGTCAAAGGAGAATTTGTACAGCTTGTGAAATATCTAAGGGGCATTACAGTGGAACATCATGCCCAGAAAAGATTGATAACCCAAGGCAGACTGAGTTCTGATTGGGTCAGAGAGTTCTGGGTTTAGGAGTGAGGACCAGGCTAGGGTGCACTTGGGAGAGACTAAGCTTACTTCCTGGTGATTCCGCGATGGAAAAAGGGAGGTCTGAGCCGCAGTTGTAAGATCTGACCACCAGGTGGAGCCTCTGCATCTTCTTGTGATAGTTCTCTCCTTTCTGGAACTACTACCATCCAGACCCAGAGATGAAGGTTGTCAGAGACTGGGAGGAGGAGGGGGCTGTGTCAACACTAAGGGAGGCAGACATAAGTTTTTTCTTACCATAAAGTCAAAACAAAAGCTCACTTTTTGGAAACGGCAGGGGAAAGCTGAGCTTAGGGAGATAGTAATACACCAAGTAGGCCACCTGGGAGTACATGTATGTTGGACCATGAACACCTATGGTCAATACATGTCCTGTACTTCCATGTGTATGTATGTTTCCCGTGATTGTCTCTGTGCATTTTGTATACTCCATTTTTCCAGTATGTCTGCATGTGTATCCTCTGCACATCCCAGGCCCCAGGTGTGTGCATGTGTCTCAGAAAATGAACAAACAGGCCGGGGATATAGCTCGGTTGGTACAGTTCTTGCCTCTTATGCACAAGGCCCTGGGTTCAATCCCCAGCACCACCAAAAAGAAAAGAAAGAATATGGACAACCATAAATCCCAGCCTCCATACCTCAGAAAGTGAAGTCCCTTGGCCCTAAAACAGAAGGGGCCCGGAGTCTGAAACCATAGGATTCTGCAGTTCGGGGGGAGCCCCAAAGCAGCATCAGACCATGAAAAATATCCCTTTCCCCAGTAGACATAAGCTAAACTACTTATTTATCAGATGATCTCCTTAGATTATACCTGGGTCCCATGTCTAGCTCCCCAGGGTCATGCTCACATACAGCCTGAATTGGCTGAGGAATTCATAAAATCATCCATTCGTTCATTTATCATTTATTTAATATTTATTCATTGACCACCTGCCATGCTCCATGCACAGCACTAGACATATTTTGTTTCTCCTTTAAACTTCTATATATTTTTTTTTATGCCATGGATTGAACCCAGGGACACATAACCACTGAGCCACATCCTCAACCCTTTTTATTTTATTTTTTTTTATTTTGAGACAGTGTCTCACTAAGTTCTGAGACTAGCTTTAAATCTGCAATCCTCCTGCCTCAGCCTCCTGAGCCACTAGGATTATAGATACGCACCACCACACCTAGCTTAATTTTTAAATTTTTTTTTACATTACTAAGGAATGAACCCAGAGATTCTCTACTAATGAGTTACATCCCTAGCACTTTTGTATTTTTAATTAATTTGTTTATTTATTTATTTATTTATTTATTTATTTATTTATTTATTTATTTATTTAGTGGTGCTGGGGATTGAACCCAGGGCCTTGTGCATGTGAGGTAGGCACTCTACCAACTGAGCTACATCCCCAGCCCTTATTTTTAAATTTTGAGATGGGTCTCACTAAGTTGTTCAGGCTGGCCTCAGAGTGTAGATCCTCCTGTCTCAGCCTCCCTAGTCAGTGAGAATACAGGCATGTGAAACCATGCCCAGCTCTCCTTTAAACTTCTTATGAAGTAGTTCATGAAAAGGTAAGGTTAATAATAACTGCAAAGAGTCTGGAAAGCTGGTGAGAGTGTTTTAAGTTTTAATCCTAAAGATGGGCCATGGTAGCCTCAGGAGACATTTCAGTAGGGAGGTGACATGGTCCAGTCAGTCTTGTTGCTGAAAGGAGTTGAAATTGCATCAGAATAAATATGAATAAAGTCAGGACATCAAGGGCTGTTGCAATGGCCTATGCATTGACCCTCAAACTTTAGTGAGCTCTGAATTACTCTTAAGAATTGATTAAAACAGATTGCTGGGCTCTACCCCCAGAACTGCTGATTCAATAGATCTGGGGTGGAGTCCAAGAGCAGGCACTTTCAACAAGTTCTCAAATGTTGTTGGTGATGCCAGTCCAGGGACCACACTTTGAGAACTAGAGGTCTATGAGGAAAAGTTAAGTAGCCTCGGGAGCTTCGAGAATGATGCCATAGACCTTCTAGGAAATCCACCTCAAGTCTCCTCCACAAACATCCACGGGTAGATATTTAAGGGTTAGAAATGGTGACACTCCTTGAGGATTGGCTTGTGGAGTTTCCCAGATTCTTCTGAGATGACTGGCAAGTTTTTAAGTTGAAGGACGATTGTGTCATTTATGGAACTTAGAAATCAGGAAAAGCAGGTTGGGGTTGGTGGTGGGGGTGGAGGAGATATCTGTCTTGGAAACTCAAATGGATGCAAGGAAATGTCTGAGGGGACCTCCAGCTGGCACTTGAATGTGTAGTTCTGGATCTCTAGTGAGATCTACAGACTGGAAATAACATGGTCCGGGAAATAACAGCAGACACAGAGTCATTAGAGACTTGAGCGGGTGAACTCACTCATGAAGATAAGAAAAGGCAGCAACTGCTCTGAGAATGGAAAGCTGACGTTAAAGTTGAGGGTGAAAAGGGAGGAGACACAAGGACAGAAATGGTCAGAGTAGGAGAATGAGGTAAGAAGTGGGGCGGGGGGTGAAACTGCAGGTAATTAGGGTGAAGAAACCCAGGGAAGCCACCAAGAGGCAGCTTATCCTGTCCGTCTGGCCTTCTCAAGCCTGTTGGAGAGAGCAATGGGATCTCCAGAGCTGGGCATGGACACTGACCCCCTTGCTGCTCCTGGACTTCTGAAGGCGTCCACCAAGGTACTTGCCACATACTAGTGTCTCTCCTGGATTTGACTTCTGAGGTCCTTGTGGCTAAGGTTTAGGGTAGGAGAGGGGGGTTCCCTCAGACTCACATACCCACAGGTATAAATATACACACAACTCACTCCTCACCTCTCATGTGTCCTGAGTAGGAAGACTGCAGAGCTGCCCATTTCTGTTTCATCCACCTAGCTGCTGGCTCCAGACTCTGGAAAGTTCTTAGTGATGAATCCTTGGTTGCCAGACTCCTTTCCCTAAAATCCCTCAAGCTGAGATGACCCAGTCTAAGCTCTGCACCTGTCATGTGTCTTCTGAGATACTCACCTAGTACCATACATTCCATGAGTTAATGATGTCACCTTTCTGTCCCCTTTTCCTCTACTTCTTCTCAATTTTGTTACCTTTATTTTCTCATCTACTACTTCACTAAACA